CTGTGAGGGGCTAGTCCCCCTCTATTCAGCACTGGTTAGGCGTCATCTAGAATACTGTTGTCCAGTTCTGGACACCCCAGTTCAAGAAGGATGCTAACAAATTAGAAGATGTTCAGAGGAAGGCAATGAGGATGATCAGGGAATGGGAAACCAAGTCCTGTGAGGAGAAAAGAACCAGGCCTGTTTAGCTTTGAGAAAAGGAGACTTGAGGGGGGCGGATAAGATAGCACTCCTCAAAGACCCGAAAGGCTGTCCTACAGATGAGGGTCAGGATCTGTTCACGGTCATTCCAGAGTGCAGGACACACAACAATGACCTCAAGTTAAAGGAAGCCAGATTTTGCCTGAATATCAGGGAAAAAACAACCTAACAGTTAGAGCAGTATGACAATGAAATAAATGACCCAGGGAGGTGGAAGTCTTCAAGAGAAAATGGCCCTCGGTCAGATCTGCTTGGATTTGTACTCCTGCTGTGAGCAGGGGAGGGGTTGGGCTTGATGGCCTCTGAGGCCCCTTCCAACTCCGTGATTCTATGCTTCTATGGGGTCTTAATCCTCTACCTTTTTTACAGCAGGGCTTTGCCCTGTTCGTTCATGAAGGGGTGCACATATGGAAAACATTTTAAATTGCTAATTAATGTCTAACTTAGTTTTAAAATATATTGAACATTGAGTCCTAGAAGGCATGTTTTCCAGCCCCAAAGGCCGCCACTAGCTTGAGTAGGAGGAGCCGGAGTGAAAAGGCAGGACTGAGGTGTCCCTCTGAAACTGGAACTGGTGGAAAGATTTGTTTTGGGGGAAAAGATGCTCCGAAGGAAAAAAAAACCAAAAACACGCACACAAAAATCGCTCAGCCCGTATGGTCCCTGGCCAGATGAGAAGAAAAGAATAACTTTCCTAAAGTCTGATCTGAAATACACCGGGCAGAAGGTCTGGCTGTGTGGAAGAGGCCAAGACCATCAGAAGCAGGTCACGTTCCTGGGAATAACACTAAGGTCTTGCCGACCTTTGGGCCCCTGCTGCCCTGACAATCAAAGGGACCAATTGCAAAAAAATAAAAAATAAAAATAAAAATTCAAATCCGTTCTTTGACTGATGGAGGTGCTGAGCCTTGGAAACTTCTTCGCTTAAAATGCAGTTCTAGGGCAAGTGGAATTCAAAGGATACACTTAGACCAAAGGCAAAATGCACAGGCCAGGGCCATGGACCACAAGCCATGGGTGGCAGGCCATGTGTACCTCCAGCTCTTCCTTCCTTCCTTCCTTCCTTCCTTCCTCTCTCTGTCTCTTCCTTCGTTCCTTTGTTTCTTCCTTCCTTCCTTTCTCTCTCTCTCTCTTCCTTCTTTCCTTCCTTCTTTCCTCCCTCTCTCCCTCTTCCTTCCTTCTATACATCATCACCTTTTTTCTCTTTCTCTCTTCCTTCCTTCCTTCCTTCCTCTCTCTTCCTTCCTCCTCTCTCTCTCCCTCCCTCCCTCCCCCATCCTAAGGTCCGCAAATTCCATGAATTTTCCCTGATGGGGAAAAAAATAGTGGGTGGGAGTAATTTTGATTCTCTGATAGGCTGTCTTCCCTGGGGATTGGAAGTGGGGCAGGGCTGTCTGCAGTTCCCCACTTGCCAGCTGAGGTGGGACGAAGCTAAATTACAGATCAGACTGCAGGATATTTAGGGAAACATACTTTCCCTGTATTTATATAGTTGTTGCTCAGCTCTTGTGAGATTTGCTGGAGCCAAATTAGAAGCAGCCGGACAGCAGAATGAGACCCATCCGGAAGAGTTCCTGGCTCTCGGCCCTTCTCTGGAGCAGAAAGCATGTGTACGTCTTGGGACACCAAATTAAGGCTCGCGTTCAGGGGCAGAGAGGTTTGTGCTTCCCTTTGGGTCACACTTTTTCACAAACCCGAGGTTCCTTGTGTGTAAGCGAGGGTGAGGGACTGCCGGTGGAAGGACACAGCACAACAATATTCAGGGACCGTCATCCCAGGGACACGGAGAGCCAGGATCCGCAGGTCTCGGATATCTATGAGTAAAGGTCCGCTTTAGATGCATGCCCAGTTCATCCTGGTACATCTGGCTATAGACAGGTGGTCCAGCCATCCTGGGCCACGAGGCAGGAGACGTGGGGCGGCACCCTCTCCTCTCCATAATGGTCCAAACCGTCGTCCCTTTTCTTCTCTCCAATAGTGCAGCCTGGTTATCCTGGCGTCTTGGTGAAGCACCTCCTCCAAGAAAGATCGGCGGTGGCCGGAACCTCCTGAAACTAGCATGATCATCCACAGCCCATGATCCCTGTCAGGAGAAATCATCATCATCATCATCAGCAGCAGCAGCAACAGCAGGGTCCTTCCCTTGGCCAAAGCATCAATGAAAGGTGAAAGGCTGTCAGGCCATGGGCCACCACGTGAGGCGGGGATTGGTGCCCCTCGTTTGTGCCGCCCACCGTAGGGCGGTCTGATCAGGAACCAGAAGGAAAGGGCTCCCTCGGAGGTCATATGGCAGCGGAAGTGCAGTCCAGCCTACCTGGAAGGCCTCTCTTTCGGTGGCAGCCTGCCACAGCTCTCGAGGGCTCCCCTTCGGTCTTCGAGGGCATCTTCAGCCCAGACGGCTTCAGCTCCAGAAGCAGACACCAGGACTTGCCCAAGGCATATGCTCAGGATCCGAAATGGGCTGTACAAGGTGTTGGGGTCTTTCCATCATGTTCCAAGCGGCAGTCCCTTAAGGTCCCAAGCCGCAGAACCTCACTTCCCCAGCTTAGCGGGAGTGATGAGCATAGGAAAAAAGCTATACATGGAAGTATGGAGCACAAGAGGAAAGCTTTTACCATATGTGGTGGACTTGTAGAGTAGCAAAACAGTACTGGATAGCAGTGCATACTCTGTTACAAAAAAATACTGCTTCCAGGAAAGTCTTCCGGGAACGTCCCGGAGGGCTTGGGACAAACCAGCAGAGTTCTGCGTTGAGCCTCCGTAGCAGTCGCTTCAGGATGCTTTGTTACATCCTGTGGAAGGAAGTCAAGGTAACTTTGCAAGCTGTATGATCTGAAGAGCTATTAGGATGAAAGGTTTGTATCAGATCTGTCCTTGGACAAGAACGGCTTAAGGTGTCAAGACCAGAAAATCTGCCTGAAGAACAACAGCCTTCCCCCCCCCATGAGGTCTAGAAGCTTGCATTTTATAGACAACAGCAGTGATGTTTTCTAAAAGGATTTCCAATATTCCACGTGAAATACTTTAAGGTCATGGTTCAAAGTCTGGATAGACACAAGCACATATGAGTGTACTGTTTGTTTTGTTTTAACACAACAGCTCAAATGCAAGCTCACCCACGCAGTGGTGTTGCAACAGAAGCAGGCAAGAGCTAATACCTGTGAGCTCCAACCCTGTGTAGGTCATAGCAATCTACTGATGACAGATGTCAAACATCTGTGTTTACAGCCCTGAAATAATGACAGCTTCAGTGGGCTGACCATGTTGTCTGGACAACAGTCTCCCAAAACATATTTTCTGTTTAGAGATCCTCGTTGGATTGCACGGTAGACAAAAGAGAAAATTCAACGACACACTGGAAGGATTTAATATTGACCACGTCAACGGGGAAGCTCTCGCTCAAAACCAAAATGTCTGGTGAAATACTCAAGGGGCTCAAGAATTCGAAGTAAAAAGAACCAAGGATGCAGAAAAGGAAGACAGAAGCAAGGGAGGATCATCTCAATGGGCCAATGAGTCTGGCATCCGCGAGCCAGCATATTGCTGTCCCCGAATCTTCTGGGCGAATTTTGGTGCTCATTAGTCAGCTCAGTGGGCTACTGCTCAACTTTAACCCTTAACTTCTTAATTGCCCCCCCAGGACCCCAAATGGTGAATCTGAGGGTGACGGTCATTTTTAAAAACTCTTTATTATAATTGCTCCTTGGTACAACAGGTACAACAAAAAAAAACCTAAGATCATTGCCACTGGTCCCATCACCTCCTGGCAAATAGAAAGGGAAGATATGGAGGCAGTGACAGATTTTACCTTCTTGGGCTCCATGATCACTGCAGGTGGAGACAGCAGTCATGGAATTAAAAGACTCTTGCTTCATGGGAGGAAAGCAATGAGAAACCTCAACAGCATCTTAAAAAGCAGAGACATCACCTTGCCAGCTAAAGTCCACATCCTCAACGCTATGGTTTTTCCTGTAGCGATGTATGGAAGTGAGAGCTGGACCATAAAGAAGGCTGACCGCTGAAGAATTGATGCTTTTGAATTGTGATGCTGGAGGAGGCTCTTGAGAGTCCCCTGGACTGCAAGGAGAACAAACTCATCCGTTCTGAAGGAAATCAACCCTGAGTGCTCACTGGAAGTACAGATCCTGAAGCTGAGGCTCCAATACTTTGGCCATCTCATGAGAAGAGCAGACTTCTTGGAAAAGCCCCCGATGTTGGGAAAGTATGAGGGTAAGAGGAGAAGGGGACGACAGAGGACGAGATGGCTGGACAGGGTCATCGAAGTGACCAACATGAATTTGGTACCAAACTCCGGGAGGCAGTGGAAGACAGGAGGGCCTGGCGTGCTCTGGTCCATGGGGTCACGAAGAGTCAGACATGACTTAACAACTAAACAACGACAGGTCCCCCCTCTGAATTTTACGATATTTGCAAGAAGGCTGAATACAACCATGATTCTTGTGATCTGTTGTTCACTTTTCCCTGACTTTTCTGGAAAAGCACTGTGAACATTTAAAGGGGAGGGGAGAGTAATAGCTTGCAGAGCTTGGCAAAATTAATTTTATCTCCAAGTGCCAGAAGCCGTCAGCTAAGATGGTCCCTGGCCATGTTGGTGGACAGAATCTGGACACTGTATATAAAAAATGTAATTTTTCTAAAGTCCAGGGTGTGTTCGGAAAACCTGCTAGATGTTATCTTGTTTAGTTAGCAGTCTAATTTGTTTTGACTTACCCAAGCAGATTGATTGATTGTATGGCTTCTGCCTGCTGTATTTTTCTTTAACTGCTTGTTTCTTCTTAGTTTCACTATTTATATGATGGATGTTGATATTCTTTTATATTCTTCTGTTTTTGATCTTTTGGAGTACCTATTTTGAAAGATGGGGGGCATTTAGAAATTTTAAAAATAAAATGAGAAACTATATAGGCACATGTTTTAAAATGTGTTTTATAGGAATATAAATGAGAGTGTTCTTTCTACCAGAGCCTCTGTGTGCCCTAAAATGCTTCAACACTTCATGCTAGAGTGGGTGGAGGAGAGAAAAAAACAACGGGTGTGCATTTATAGTTTTGAGAACAGATGAGCCAAGAAACTGAACAAGTGAATCATGTTTCCCAGCCTGAAAAGCTGGCTGTTCCGTTTCCAAACTATAAACAGAATTAAGAATATCGGTTTGCATTTTAACTGAAAGGCTGGTCTTATCAGGATAATGCATTTAATTGGACTCCTGCAAGACAATAGATCATGTTATGATCGCCGTTCCCAACCTGGCACCCTCTGAATGTGTTGGGATGAAAGCGATGACAAACCTTGACAGCATCTTAAAAAGCAGAGACATCACCTTGCTGACAAAGGTCTGCATGGTTAAAGCTATGGTTTTTCCAATAGTAATGTATAGAAGTGACAGCTGGACCATTAAAAAGGCTGACCGCCGAAGAATTGATGCTCTTGAATTGTGGTGTTGGAGGAGCCTCTTGAGAGTCCCCTGGACTGCAAGGAAAACAAACCTATCCATTCTGAAGGAAATCAACCCTGAGTGCTCACTGGAAGGACAGATCCTGAAGCTGAGGCTCCAAGACTTTGGCCATCTCATGAGAAGAGAAGACTCCCTGGAAAAGACCTTGATGTTAGGAAAGTGTGAAAGCAAGAGGAGAAGGGGACGACAGAGGACAAGATGGTTGGACAGGGTCACCGAAGCAACCAACATGAATTTGACACAACTCTGAGAGGCAGCGGAAGACAGGAGGGCCTGGCGTGCTCTGGTCCATGGGGTCACGAAGAGTTGGACACGACTTAACCACTAAACAACAACACACTTCCCATCCCCTTATCCACCCTAAATAACCCTCTGCCATTCCATTCCAGACACCAAACCCAATCTGGTGACCCGCAGCTCACATCACCCCCAGCTAGAATGGCCTTGCTGGCTGGCGGGGGGGTTGTCATCAGGGTTGTAGCCCCCCATCTCTCTGGGTTCCACCAGATGCAACTAGAGCGGTCAGAGTCGTATCCTCGCCTGCTTCTCCCATGCACAACCACTCTCGGCCACAACAGCCTGAAGTGGGTGGCTTCCTCCAGCTTCTGGACCGGACCTCTCCTCGTCGCTCCCATTACGAAACTCACGAGCCTTC